ATGTTATAATTATAATTATAATTATATAATTATAACATATTATAACAAGATTTCCAAACTTTTATAGAAAGAGTTATACTTTATTTTCAATTTTTTTCTTTTAATTTTAATGCGTACTGCAAAAATGATTTGCCAGATCTTCACAGAGTTGATCTGCATTATAAAATCAGTCCTGCTTGTAGCACTTGACATATTTTAGCATTCCCTGGTGTCATAAAACAGATGGAAGCAATAAAATCATTTGGTCTTCTGCTGGCAAGTTTCACATCTTTGTTACACTCTTCAGATTTTTTAATCTTTTGCCTAAAAGACAGAAGAACGATAGCATGTCTATTCAAGAAAAAGATAGAGGGAACAATTCGATGGTCCCTTCTTCGGTGCCATTACCTTCCATTACAGCTGCAAGAGATTATTGCTCTTTCTGTGGTCCTGAACAGACAGTTGCATTGTGGCTGAGATACAAAGTGTGATTTGTTTTCTGTGCGTTCATAGTGAAATTGAATAATGTAGTTTCATTTCAGCCTATATATACATCAAGCAGATAACAAAAAAAAAAGGTGTATATATTTAGTATATATTTTTAACACATTAATCTGCAGAATATGCAGTAAAACTACTGGCTCGTGGATGAGTTTGGGCATAACTCATACGTATACTCTTTTTTGTTGTTCACATAGGTATCATTTTAATTCCTCTATTAGGGGTTTACTCAAGTCTCTCTGGTAATTACTGCATTTAAAAATAAATATTTAGGACTGTGCATGCACTTTACTAGTGGTGTGTGCGTGCGTGCTTCCACTAGCAGAGTTTAAATGCCCAACTGGCCAAATCGGAGTACTTTGGCCACGACAACCATACTCATCACTAGACTGATTGGGGCACTTTGAATGTTAAAGGTTCATTACATAGACAACAATGAGAATTTTCTGGAGTAGACCACTTTTTTATTATAATTTACAGAGCATTAAAGCTCACTATTTTATTTACTCCAGGTGCTCGATGATTTCAAATGTAAGACATAGCAGTGGTAGGAAATGTGTCTGAACAGAATAAGTCATTTATGACTAAATTTTATGCTCTTACTACAAATATGTGAAAGAAAATAACTAAATTGTATGATGTTTATTGAGCTGGTTTCCCTCTTGAAGTCACTAACCTTTATTCATTCTGTTCACCATTCCTTTTGCCTCTCACAGGTTCAGTAGCTTTGCCATTTCCTTCTTATGTCTCACATTTACTGCTCACACTCACGTTCACTGCCAACATTATCAGCTTCTTCCATATTCTCTCTCCTTCCCATTTTGTGGGACGTACACGGCTTTATAATTCCTTTGACTATCACTTCCATAGAGCTCCATTGCCTTCATGTGTTGTCCATGATATGTATGCGGTGTCCGTCTTTTAGTGCACTCAATTTCACTTGTTATTTCACGACATGTTTCGGCACTATAGTGCCATCATCAGGTGCTCCATTTATGTTAATCTATTTCATTGCTTGCCATTATGTCATTGTAAAATTTAAAAAGTATTTAAAAATGTTTGTCAATTATAATAAATATTTATATACTAAAAACTTGTTAAGATAAGAAGAGCGCAGCTCCATGAGTGACTGAGTGATCACATTGTTGATTTTGTAGGCCACATAATGTTACTTCATTACCTAGTCCTGGTCTTGTAGACCCCACAAGATCACAGAATCTGATGCCCCACAATTGTTTCTTTTGGAATTATATGAAAATGCTGTGTATTGGTATGGCTAAGATGGCTAAGTTAGATCAACTCAGAATAGCAGCTGTGATAGAAGTAACGCCAGACCGCCTCTGTGGTCTAGTGGTTAGTGTTCCTGGCTACAGATCCAGAGGTCCGGGTTCGATTTCTGGCACTACCAGATTTTTTCTGAGATGTAGTGCGTCTGGAACGAGGTGCACACAGCCTCGTGATGATAATTGAAGAGCTATATCAAGGAAACAATAGCTCTGGTCTAGAAAACTGAAATTAACGGCCATGGGGATTCATTGCGCTGACCACACGACACCCTCTATCCACAAAAGTTGGCACTAAACTTCACCGACAAGCGGCGGTCACTCGGTCTTTATAGTTCTCTTGAGGACTAAAATCATAAAATCAGAGAGGTTTTTTTTTATTATTATTAACTCCAAAGATTGGCTGATATCGGTTATAGGCTTGATAGCTGTCATGCCATGAGAAGAACGCATCTTTACTGACAAGAGCTTTTTGAGTAAAATGTCACTTCTTTAATATGAATAATGGTTAAGAAGATATATCCTCACAAAACTCCAGTGACTTTCCAGACACTCTGTATTAATGTGTTGATAGACTAGACAATGAGTGGAATTTTTCTGGGATTATTCTCCGAGTTAAGTTATGAAGTGTTCAATCCTAGTTATGCCAGTGAAGAACAATTGGATTATTAAAGTGAAGCAGTATATTTCTGTATGAAACAGTAGCTTGGCAGAGAGGCAAGATAATGTGGATGAGGTCTTCGTCACTTCACCATTTTGAAGAACAGAGACAGATCAGCTGCTCTGTGTGAAGAAAGACCAGTGACACAAAAACAAATGCACAACACAGAGAATGAAAATTTGGAATTTAATCTCTTTCAATGGTTTTATTAAGAAAGATTGATGGGCAGTGATCATGGCAGGCCTAAGCCATACTTAAAGATTTAGACCTTTACTGTTTCGAAGGAAGAAAATGTGTGACTGGGCAGAATGTAGTACAACTTGATTGCACTTAGAAGTGGTCCATAACAGGGCATACATGGTTATGTGGAAGTGGTTTTAACTGTACATTCTCTCATTAGCAGTCCCTGAACGTATAGTGGGCTGGGCTTTTGTTTGTAAAGGATGGCTCCTAATAAACAGTTGGTTGCAAGTTGTTACGTAATGTGATAATCTTGAATTTCTTGAAGGTAATGATAAGGATGTTCATAATAGTGATTTATTCTTTGTTATTTATTACAACTACTTCGGAAAAAAATATAAATTTTGCTCTGTTCACATTCATTTTTCTTTATACCTTAGTGCTGTATCTCTACTTTTTTGTTAATTACATGTAAGCGTGGCCGGCGCGTAGGGCTTACAACCTTACCGCCATCTTTGAGCCGATTGTCTAGACAATGTGGGACCCTCAACGTCTCACAACCCTATGGGCCTTCACGGCCTGGTACGGGGATAGCTTTACTTTACTTTTACTTGTACCTTTTAGAATATGGGCACAAGATAACATAGTTGGTTGAGGCACTATGCTACAAGCCGGAAGGTCACAGGTTCAAGTCCCGATGAGGTCATTGGATTTTTCAGTTGACTTAATCCTTCCAGCCACACTATGGCCCTGGGGTCAACTCAGCCTCTAACAGAAATGAGTAAAAGTAAAAAAAGTAAAGCTATCTCTGTAAGAGGTCATGAAGGCCCATAGGGTTGTGAGACGTTGAAGGTCTCACATTATCTAGACAATCGGCTCATGGATGGCGGTAAGGTTGTCAGCCTTATGCGCCAGCCGCGCTTTACTCCCCAGGAAAATTACCAAAAATTAATTAAATAATTTTCCTGGGGAGTGAAGCGTGGCTGGCACATAAGGCTGACAACCTTACCGCCATCCATGAGCTGATTGTCTAGATAATGTGAGACCCTCAACCTCTCACAATCCTATGGGCCTTCACGGCCTCTTACAGGGATAGCTTTACTTACTTTACTTTTTTACCCATTAGAATGAGAATTTTTTCAGCTTTTAGAAATTCTGTTATTCATTTTATGCTATGCATATGGTATGTTTAAAAGGAAGAAGTTTTTTGTTTGTTTTTTGATAAGACTGAAGAGATGTGTGATAAGATTATCTTAAATAAAGAACACATGAAACGCATAATAAGTTGCTGTATAAATTTCAGCAGTGATGAAAGTGCTTCAGGTTTTCAGTGTTTGCTCATGGATATAAAAAAGAAACATAATATTTGTTGTATCTTCTTTGTCAGTGTCATTTGACTTGGAACAAACACTATTCCATTACACAAGTAAATTAATTGTGTTTATTTTTTATAGTAGCTCAAAAATAGTAGGAGCTTCTCGAACAGTTCATAGGCCACGTCTGCTCTTGGTTGGTTCAAGTCCCAGACAAGCTCAGACTTCACATCTTGGACCCTCTCTTCTGCACTACATGGAACATGTGGCTGTTCACACGCTGGATCTCTCATCTCTGTTTGAGGTGTCAGGAAGAACTCCAGAGGAAGCATGTATTCAGGTAAGAACAGCATGTTTCATCAAATGCTTTCTGTCAGTGGTAGAACTGTTACCAAGTTTCTGTGGATGAATGCCTAGAACAGAAATTGTGAACTTATTTATGTCTGCTTGTAAGAATTCACAAGAAACAAATTCTGATTTAATTTTGTGTCCACAAACACGAGGGCTATTTGGAAAACAACCTTTGTTGAGCTGTTAACAAAGCAAACAGAAAAAAATTATTATATACAAAAAATATGTGCATATTTAAGCTACTTCTCAACATAGTTACTGCTAGAATTGAGGCACTTTTCATATCAGGGAATGAGTTTTTGTATGCCTGTGTCAAAGAAGACTGTTGCCTGTAAGCTCAATCAGGTCATGGCACCTTCCATCAGCTCCTCATTTTTGTTGGAGAGCTGTGATCTTAACCGGTTCTTCAGATAGGTAAACAGTAGGTAGTCGTCTGGAGCAAGATCAGGCTGTAAAGAGAATCATCAGACAACTCCCATATGAGATATTCCAGCAGTACTCGATTTCAAGCAGCAAAATCAACATTTATACTAAAGGTTAAAAAAATCGAAATGCCCCCATACCGATATTATCTACGTTTGAGGCGCATTTCATTGAGGCAGTGAAAAAACAGAAAAAAATACTGCAGTGAATTTAAATACACTTGTTAAACTTGTAAACTTCTTAACTTCAGTTATTAGTATTTTTATTGTATAATTTTATTAACCTTTAATGTACGGACTTTTAAATTGCTGGGAGCCCCCTGCGGCTGGTATTTAAATCAGCCTGATTAATTAAATTTGCAAACCGTCAGAAAAAAATTCATATTTTCCATTCTGTGCAACATAGAAATAAAAACTAAGAACAACCTGAAAGACAATAAATTTTTCTACATGTACACAGAAGAGCAATTTTTGCAAATGAAAATTAACTGTGATTATTTTGTCATGAATTGCAAAATATAATCTTTATTATATATGTCATGAAATTCCAAACGACTTACCCATTGTTTATTCTTCAGCCTTGAATCGTGGTGATATTGTAAATATAATCACACTATATACTCGTACAATAATGTTATATTCAGACTGTACGCGAGTTTGAACTGCGTCACTTCACAGTTTACGATAACTCACACTCGATGCGCGTCTACTGCTTGTCGATGCAGTCCAACATTCTCGAAGCAGCTGAACCCACACAGCGCAATGTGACACTTTACGGGCTTCTGCGCTTCTTATTCTGAGAACAAATATGTCTTAGTTTCCCTTTGGTTGGCCAGTGTTGTGAATGTTTCACCTCCAGTCGACTCAGTTGGGCCCCCTGATAAATTTGGCCCTCCCCTGAGAAACGCCACTGGCCATGAT